GGAGCTGGAGGAGTTGGCCCTGCCCAGGGGCGGATCCCAGGTAAGTTCAGGAGCCTTACGGAAATTCCAGCCACCCACCGCAGACCATGACACTCCCAAGAAGGCTGCTATATATTCTGGCTTTCTATCAAGTTTTTCCAACATAAAAAAGAGCAGTGATAAAATAAAATACATCTTTTTTCTCCTCCAATTTGGTCAAGAAGAAGCTAACTTTGAAAACCAGCAACTGATTTCAGAAATGAAAAATCAAAATCCAGCACTTGGCACAATATCTCAAAAAAATCAATTAGTCAATTTTGAAAATGAGAAGGTTTTGCCAAAAGCCAGTGATCTATTTATCTCAACTCTATCTGTCTGAGTCGGGAATTTCTAACGGGGCCAGAAAAGGTCCTTGTGATTCAGTGAGAGAACAAGCGTGTGTGAGATGTAGTGGAGTATGTAAACCGTTTGACATCAGTGTTTGGGCTTTCTTTATGAGAACATCTGCAGCAGCTGCCCTATAAATTCCCAATGTTGAGAAAGCAGGAACAAAAAGTTCCATTTTTGTATAGCAGTGTACCATGGCAAGAAGCGGACCCAGTCGTGCCTCGTCTGGAGCAGCATGGCCGACATTTTGGGAAAATCAAATTGGGGATGGAGAACTGAGATAATGTTGGTGTATGTTTACAAGCCAGTTCTGCACAGCAACAGACAACATTGAAGAGATCTTACTGATTGCCACCACATCAGCCCCAGAAAACAGGCAAGACATCTGTCTTGGTTTTACTTTTCAACAGACCAACTCTGTGTGGTATTCTGGCATTTAATGGGAAATATTGGCTGATGTGACGATGTTGTTGTTTCCTCTTTAAGAATGTCTTCATTGCCAGTGATATCTAAATGTTAAAGTTTCAACTAGCCCCATAGACATATCTTTTTAACAGATCCCATAGGCAATCAGCATTTCACATAATTAGCACATTATTAGCAGACACACTCAGTGCTAAATTAAACATACACTTAAAATTCAAATGCTTCTGGCTTCTTGGCAGATTTTTGGGACTTTTCAGAATAGTGAAAAATTGAAAAGCAAATCAATTCAATTCAGTTTTTTTTTATAAGGTTCTAAATCACAACAATAGTTACTTTGGGGAAATTTATATTGTAAGGTAAAGACCCTACAATAATACAGAGTGACAGTGGGAAGGAAAAACTTCCCTTTAACAGGAAGAAACCTATGGCAGAACCAGACTCAGAAAAGGGCTTCCATCTTTTGTAACCTGTTGGGGGTATGGGGAAGAGGCACGCTGACATGCTGTGGAAGAAAGCCAATGATGAATAATAATAACTAATGATTCAATTCAGAGTGGTGTATAAACACACAGTGAGTGAAAAGGTGAGTGAAGAAGATGGATTTTAGTGGAGGGAGACTAAAACTCCAGAAAAAAACAACACTTTACATAAAAGTTACTAACTGATTTGCATGTCATTGAGGGAAATAAGCCCCATCCCTAAAACTCAGCCAGAATTATTGTTCCCACAGATTGGCTGTGTGCCATGATTGCAATCAGCCAATCAATCAATCCCAGATACTCCTCATCTCAACCTGTATATCGAATCATTCTGCCTCAGGGTGACACTGAAAAACTAGTTATGCATTTATTCCTTCTAGCCTGGACTATTCTAATTTACTATTATCAAGATGTACTAAAAACCCGAAAAGCCTCCAGCTTATCCAGAATCTCTGCAGCATGACTACTGACAGGGACTAGAAGTAGAGAGCATATTTCTCCTATATTGACTTCTCTTCACTGGCTGCCTGTTAAATCCAATTTTAAATCTAATTTAAAAAACCTGCTCCTCACATAACAGATCTTAAATAATCAGGCCCCATCTTATCTTAATGACCTTTTATCACCCCATTAGAGCTCTCAGACTGCAGGCTTAACTGTTGTTCCTAGAGTATTTAAAGGTAGAATGGGAAGCAGAGCCTTCAGTTTTCAGGCCCATCTTCAGTGAAACCAGCTTCCAATTTGGTTTTGGGAGACATACACCATCTCTACTTTTAAGATTAGAATTAAAACTTTCCTTTTTGCTAAAGCATATAGTTAGGGTTGGATCAGGTGACCCCGAGGCCTCACACTGCAATAGGTCTAGGCTGCTCCGGTATTTCCATGATGCATTGATTGTTTCTTCTTCAGTCACTTCACTATGTGTTTATAGACCTCTCTGCATTTAATTATTACTTATCATTAATCTATGGCTCTATTTCAGAGCATGTCTTTGTGCTGCCTTCATCCACTCAGCCCCAGCCAGTCATGGCAGATGGTCACCCCTCCCTGAGCCTGGTTCTGCTCAATGTTTCTTCCTGTTAAATGCGAGTTTTTGCTTCCCACTGTCGCCAAAGCACTTGTGGGTCTTATGCTTGTTCATGTTTTTTCTGTTTTCTTTGTCCCATTTTAAGGTTTTTACCTTACAATATAAAGAAGAATTTCACTACATGTTGTACTCTGTGTGATTGTATAGGTGACAAATAAAGGTTGTCTGTAAAGCATCTTAAGGGAACTGTTGGTGTGATTTCACACTATATAAATAAACTTGAATTGAACTGAATTAAATCAGTTTCTTCTATTCCAATCTCTCCACCACCAAGACCAAAGAGCTGTCAAAGGACATCAGGGACAAGATTGTAAAGCTGCATAAGGCTGAAATGGGCTACAAGACCATTAACAAGAAGCTTGGTGAGAAGATGACAGCTGATGATGTGAATATTCAGGGGTGGAAGAAATGTAAAATGATCATCAATCACCCTCGTCTGGAGCTTAAGGCAAGATCTTACCTCACAGGGTGAGGATAATCATAACAGGATGAGGATCATCCCAAAACTATATGGGAGGAGTTTGTTAATGATCTGATGGCAGTCATGACCACAGTCACCAACAACTCCACTGGGAACACACTACACTGTAATGCAGGGATGTAAAACTCATTTTACATCATGTGCTACATACAGCCTACTTTAAGTCCAGACCAGTGAAACTCTCCTTTCCATCAGTGTAAAGAAGTAATTGTTTCACTGTAAATGTTTATATTAGACTGTTCTATTTTTTTTATATATATATATTTAACTATTATTTATTAATTTGGTGTAGTATAAATAGCCATGGGGAAGTTTTTCATCAGTACATTTAAAAAATAAGTCCAAAATTTATGCCCTCCTTAACATTTCTTACAGAAAATCTACAACCAGCCCCACTGTTAATATGTAGGTTCTCAATGCATAAGGCCAACAAATGATCAGTAGCCATCTATGGACAAACACATCCTCACTCAAGTGGAGCCAAGTGAGGGTAAAGTCTTAATCCATTTACTATTTTTTTCACTTAACCAATTCAAGACTGGAACCTATTCCAGCTATCACAGGGTGAGAGGCAGGTTACACCCTGGACAGCTTACCAGTCTAAAGGTCCTTTCACATGAGAAGCTGGGTGGCCTGACCACTGGGTTAAATGAAAGTTCTCTGCACTTTGCAGGATGTACTTACTGTACATAAAACCTTTGTTATCAATTTGAGCACCTACAACTTCAAGTCTCATTCACCCAATCACACACATATCCATACAGAACTTTTATCTACTGTACCATTCACTCACACACACACCATACAGATGCATCAGAGGCAACTCTGGGTTCAGCATCAGTGCACAGGATGGACTGAGGGAACCAGGGATTGAGCTGCCAACCTTCTGATTGGCAGATAGGAAGACCATCTGCTCTTCCACCTAAACCACCTTAGACTCACACATTGTGATCAACACTGATCACAACATGTGAGTCAGCCTGGCAAAATGCAAAGAAATTTAAAAAATAAAATAAAATCACTGACATGCTCAGAGTAGGCTACCTCCAAAAACCGGGGAACTACGAGGGTGAGACAAATGTGACCGATCTGTGTATTGTTTATGTCATATGAAGTTAATTGTTAGTTGATATTATATTTCGTTAACTCCAAATCAGATTTGAGATGTTTTATCTCTTTTTGATATTTAAATTTTTATCTGTTTTTTCGTGAATAGAGCACATTAAAACCTCAGCAGCACTTTCCACACAAGAGAGACGCATGGTTAAAGAGATGCAATCGATCGAATCATTAAACCAGACAATGTTTAATATATTATTTAAATCAAATCAACAAAGCTGCACCATTGACTGTACAGTCAATGAGCTGCACAAACGACATTTTTATATTTACATTTATTAAATGTAGATTCGTCGGTGAAATTTGTCGAAAGTGCGGTATCGATTGTGAAAACAGATAAACATTGAGCAGCCTGCAGTGGAGCTGATCCTGCTGTGAGCCTGTTGTGCCTTTTCCCCAAATAAAGGACGCTTGGAAGAGGAGAAAATATGAGCGACTTACTCGGAATCACGTGACTCACACAGATAGGTTTTTCGTCTCCATTTAACCGTTTTCCTTTTTTGTATATGATGGCTGAGCTAATCTAGTAGGCTAACAAGCTACAGTGCCTTTTCCTCTACCGGAAGAAGATCAGAGAGTGCAGCCTCTGTTTCCTCCTGATGGCTTCAACTTCTGCAGTTGGAAAAGGTATTTTTGTTCTGTTTGTCTTCCTATTCTGTCTGTTTTCTCCGTAGCTAATGTTTATATTTCTATCAACTAGCTTTTACGTTCATTTTTACATTCACAAATTAGTGATTAGCCATATTTTAGCAGTTGGTGGTAAATACCCCCTCGTACAAAGACGTTTCTTTCCTTTTTTTGACCAATTTCTTAAAGAGTATTTGCGAAGATTATTGTTATATGTTATAGCTAGTGTTATATTTACCCAAGTTTAAATTTGCACTCACTTTAATGACTTAGTGACATCATTAATAAATATAATGTCACAATGATTTTGCAGCAGAATGGCGTGAAGGTGACAGTTGTCTGGCTCTACACCCAACACATGGTATCCTGAGAGAAGCCACTATCCAGAAACTGACCTCCAGCTCTCTTAATGAGGATACAGCATGGGTGATATTTAAAGACACTAATAAAGATGTGGGAGAGGACGAACAAGAGGCGGAAGCCATACCTGTCTCAAAACTTATGAGACCTGGTTTGAGGGACTCCCTGCATGAGAAACCTTGGTTTCCTACCAGCCTGATAGACCCCAGGTTATGTGTCCCGTTAGAGCTGAGTGATGCTGATGAAGACCGAGTTCCCTATACCATCAATAGATACCTTAGAGCTTACCAGCAGGAAGGTATCAGGTTCATTTACAATAACTACATCCGTTCCAGAGGTTGCATCCTGGGAGATGACATGGGCCTGGGAAAGACTGTACAGGTACAAAGCACATTATTCTTTTGTGAGAACTGTTAAAGTGCCAGTGTTTGTTTTTAATTTTGCTTCCTGTGGCTCTCTTCCTTTTCATTCTTGTCGTCTGTTGGATCTCACCTTAGGTCATTGGTTTTCTGGCTGCTGTATTGCACAAAACAGGCACATGGGAGGACATTGCAAACAACAGGCCCCAGTTTCTGAAGAGTCAGCAGTCATCTGAGCAAAGCAATCCCAGCAAAGTAGGTTTTTTTTTTTTTTAAAGCTTGCTTACATAAAAATGTGACCTGTGTTTTAACAAAATTTTCAAGAAAAAAACACACACTACGTATTTGATAAAGTGCAACAAGTGACAGCAGTGGAATATCACAGTCACAATTTTGACATTTCTGTGACATTTCTGTTTAAGGTGTTCCTTATTGTGGCCCCACTGTCAGTGCTTTACAACTGGAAAGATGAGCTGGACACATGGGGTCACTTCCAGTGTGTGGTGGTCCACGGACTGAGGAAAGAGGAGGAGTTGGCCCGCATTAAGAAAGGGCGAGTTGAAATTGCCCTCACTACCTATGAAACTCTTCGTCTCTGCCTGGATCAGTTTAATAAGTAAGAACCACGCTTAAAAAACATGTATAGTACATTTAGTACTATAAATATAAATTAGGCTCCTTAAGAAATTGTTTATTTTGGTTTTTATTTATTTTTAAGGCACTTTAGTTGCATTTTAGATCAATTTTATGCCGCAAATAAATTTGCCTTATCTATTTATGCCCTAGATTATATCTTTGCCTTTTCCCTACAGGATTGACTGGTCTGCTGTGGTTGTGGATGAGGCCCACAAGATAAAAAATCCAGACTCTCAGATCACTCAGGCCATGAAGGAGCTAAGATGTAAGGTTAGAAAGCTTGTGTTGTTATTTCAGAATTCTCGTATTTAGTATGGACTACTAATGAGTCAGTATCAAATAACTGATAGTGGAAAGTGTTGATGTCTTTGAGGCTCTACACATTAATTTCTTAACCTTTTAGCAAGCTCAACTTTGAGTCAGGATTCTAAGGCTAACTTTGTATTTCCATCAGGTCAGAATTGGTCTCACTGGAACTATTTTACAGAACAACCTGGAGGAGCTGTGGTGTGTTATGGATTGGTGGGTTAAAATTACAACCTTAAAATTTATATCACAACTTCTTGTCTTTTAAAAACTGTGAGAGGCATAAAGCAATGCAAGTCGGGAACATGTTTGGATATGGGAGGCTATTTCACTTCACCCTTTCTTTTTACAGCCCTCCGCAAGTGTTTGACCACTGTAGGATTTCAGTTGCTCAACATTTCTTGGCCTCCTCTGTTGTTTTTATTGTTTCATAATTTGCACAGTGTTTTTAATGGGCCATGATAGGCTGCCAAGAGAGGGACTGTGGTACTGCATGAGGAAATCAGGAGTAGCAGAGAAAACTATGAGGTTGGTGCAGGACATGTACGAGGACAGCAAGAAACTGGTGAAATGTGAGTTCAAGCTGGAAGTGGGATTACATCAGGGAGCTCTTTGCTCTGAGCTCTTTGTTGTTTGCGATGGTAATGGACAGGTTGACAGATGAGGTCAGGCAGAAGTCTCTGTGGACTATAAGATTTGTAGATGGCATTGCAATCTGTAGTGAGGGTAGTGAGCAGGCAGACAGGCAAGGAGCAGCAGTGTGGCGTGGATTAATTTAGATACCTGGGGTCAACCATTCAAAGCAATGGACAGTGTACAACAGTGAAGAAGCGAGTGCTGGCAGGGTGGAGATGAGTGTACGGAGTGATGTGTTCCCGAAATGTTGCAGTAAGTGTGAAAGTAAGGTTTACAAGATGGTTTTAAGACCTGCTGTGTTGTATTATTTGGAGAAAGGACCACTAATTCCCACAGGAGGTGCAGCTGGAGGTGGCAGATCTGAAGACGTTAAGATATTTTAGCTTATGTTGAGCGGTTTCGAGACAAAGTTGGAAGATTGAGATTTTTTTGAACATCCAGAGCAGGGATAATGTACATATTGGACAAAGGATGCTGAATGTGGACCTTCCAGGTGGGAGGTTGAGAAGAACACCACAAAGAAGATTCATAGACGAAGTGAAGGAGGACATGCAGAGGGTTGGTGTTGGAGAGCAGTATGCTAGTTATAGCGTGAGATGTAGTCAGATGCTCCACTGTGGTGACCCCTAAACGGAGCAGCCTAAAGAAGGCATTTTTAACTAGACCATTTTAGCACCTGAATTCCTGTAATACAAACAGAATGTAGGTTGGCATCGTGCTGCTGAAATAAGCAAAGCCTTCCCTGAAAAACATCCGTGACTGTTCAACATCAATGGTCCCATCAATGTGCAGAGATGGGCACTAATGCACTCCCACACCTCCACAAATGCTTGCCTCTGGTCTTATCGCTAACAAGAACCGTTAAATCTTACCGTTAAAAATCGTACTTTAATATGTAGACTTTGCCCCATTTTCAATTAAATTTAATGAATTGCATTATGTTTTTATTTAACTTCTATGCAGGGATTCAGATTTATGTTTACTTTTCTCTTCAGGGCTATACCAGGTTGTCTTGGTAGCTTAGGCCACTTCAAGAACAAGTTTTCAGATCCAATTGAGAAAGGGCAGAGGCACAGCGCAACCAAACGCGCTCTCGCTACAGGGAGGAAGGCCGTCAGAGCCCTGGTGAGGAAGATTTCTCATTGGTTCTTCAGAAGGACTAAAGCTCTTATCAAAGAACAACTGCCCAAGAAGGACGACCGGGTAAGACTAGATGTCAGACTGACCAACACTTTTATCACTCACTGTCCTTTATCATTTTCATAATTACATTTTTTTTAATTCAATCAAATTTATTTGACTTAATTACCTTCTCTCTTCTGGAAACGGCTTATGTATGTGTTGTTTTGTCGAAGGTGGTGTATTGCTCTATGACAGAGTTTCAGCAGACAGTGTATCAGGCAATGCTCGACAGTGAAGATGTGACATTACTCCTAAGGTCATCAGAAAAATGTGACTGTCACAGCAGACGCACCCGCAGAAGCTGCTGCTATAAAGTTAGTTTTTCTCTTCTGCTATCGTGTGTCCCTGCAATTTACCAAGCACAACTTGATTCTATATGTTGAGACCAAAATCACTTTTATTGGATATTTTGTTTGTTTGTTTACATTTTATTTTACCCACTTTAAAGTATCACATCATAATATCCCAATGTATTTTAACTGCAGTCTATATCAAGTGTATTTGTGAAGGTTCCTAATCTTTTTTTTCATTAAGTAACTGTTTTAAAGTTCATTATAGTCTGCTAGAATACACCAAGTAAGAGATCCCATTAAAACAGAAAGGAAACTTTATGCTTTTGCATAAAAATCACATGTATAAAAATCAACAAGAAGATGCTTTGTCTCTTACATTAAATAATATTTTCCTTCTATCATAGACAAACTCTGATGGTGTTCATATGAAGGAGCTGTACTTTAGTTACCTGGCCATATTGAGAAAAGTTGCGAACCATGTAGCACTCCTTCAGTCTACTCCAGGCACCAGCAAGAAACAGGTAGAGTTGTGTTGCTTTGCACATGATTCTGGATAGATTCTCTCAAGATCTTGTTCATTAAAATGACTTTCCTACTTATTTTTAGGAAAAGTATGTAAGTGCTGTTTGTGCAAAGGTATTCCAGAAGTTTCCGGAATTTGTGCATAGATGCAAAAATGAAGCATTTGAAGCCCTGTCAGACCCAATGTACAGTGGAAAAATGAAGGTAAACACGAAAACAGCTGCGTGATCCCTTCACTGCCATTTGTAAAGGGGGTTAACAGGTTTATGCTTTCTTTTAGGTGCTGCAGAAGCTTCTCAAATTTTATCTACAAAAGAAAGCTAAAGTGCTTATTTTTTCTCTCTCAACCAAGGTGAGAGCTGCGTTTGCATTTTTTGTGTTTCTGTGACTTTGGATGTGTGATTGCAGGTTTTGCAATGAGTGAATTAAATACTGAGTCATATCTATTTTGATAGATTCCAATTTGTTCATTTAAATAGGGAGTCTTCTTTTAGGGTCTTTTTACATTATACATATTTTCCTTAGGCAGTGTTATTAAAAAAAGCACTCTGTGCAGTTTCATTGCTATGCAGATGATACCCAGCATAATTTTTTCATCAAGCCAGATGATACAAATCTACCAGTTAAATTACTGGCATTTCTTAAAGACCTGGATTACCTCTAATTTCCTATTTCTAAATCATCCAAAACTGAGGTTTTTGCACTTGATCCTAAAAAAATCTTGAAAACATGGTGTCTAAGTAACACTATAACGAGTCTTGGAGTTCTTTGTGACCAGGATACAGTATGTCCTTCTGTATGCATATTAAACACAAAATATCATCCTGTCTCAGAGTGATCCTGAGAAACCAGTTCTAAATCTTTCCGTTAACAGAGAGTTTTTCCTTCCCACTGTTGCAAAGTGCTTGCTTATAGGGGGTTATGCAATTGTTGGGGTTTCTTTCTAATATTGTAGGGTCTTTACCTTACAATACAAAGTACTTTGAGGCAACTGTTGTTGTGAATTGGTGCTATGCAAATAAAATAAAATTGAACAAAGGAGCAGCCTGAACCCTGCTAATCGCGTCTTCTGTTAGATGAATTGCTTATAGAAAAAAAGGTCTAGAAGACGTGGTTTTCTCATTACATCATGTTTATTTATAAGTTTGTGGTGAAGACAATTAGACTGAGACTGCAGTCTAATGGTTGTAGTCACCTGATACAGTATAGCTCATTTAAGCTTCAGGTATATCAATCAGCAGTTATTATAGTTTTTGCTTTCTGTTCAGTTTAATTTCACTCTCTCCAGGAATACATCAGGTGTCTTTGAGGTTCTGTTGAAATGCTGCTGCGTCTGCTATAATTCTGGAATTAGTTTCAGAGTGGGTTTACTCGTTGAATTTTTAATAGTTTCAGATTTGTTGTCATTATCATGTAGGTGAGATTAAAGTGCAGAGCAGTCTGATAATACACGGTCACATAGGCTTAAGTCTAAAAGTAATATTTTTATGTTAAGTATTGGTGTGTTATTTCAGTTAGGTTTTGTTTTTATTTAATTTTACAGCGCTTTCAAACTCATTTTTAGGTTTTATATTAGTTTTAGTTAGTTATAACCTTGAGCCTAAGTTTCTTTTTCTCAGTCTTCACATCATAACTGAAAGTACTTAATTTTTGATGTGAGCGTGGGATGCAGGCAGGAGTGTGCAGAAGGGAGGAAGCATGATATGAAGTCATATTTTCATGACCTTGGTTTTACTTTAATGCTAATCATGGTGTCCATACAGGCCAGTGTAGTGCTCAGTGTTTAGCCTCACTGTAGATCTGTAAGTATAAGTTGTAAAGACTGAAGTCCAGTAGATATTTTTAGATATGCTGCTTCAGTTTACACGTGTAGGATCTATTTTCTATACAAATCTACTGATTAATGAACTCCTAAATGGTCATTTATTGTGTATTGAATCTTTTAGCTACTAGATGTGCTGGAGAGCTACTGCATGGCTGTGGGCCTGGACTTCAGCAGACTGGACGGATCCACCAAATCCAAAGAGCGAGTCCAGATCGTCAGAGACTTTAACAGCTCCTCTCACATCAACCTCTGCCTGGTTTCCACCATGTCAGTTGGAAATACCAACACTTGTAGCTTTTAATTTTATCCTAGGTAGTATTTGGTATTGAAACCTACTAATATGTGTATTTTCTATTAGGGCAGGTGGTCTTGGTCTTAACTTTGTTGGTGCTAATGTTGTGGTGCTGTTTGACCCCACCTGGAACCCAGCCAATGACCTTCAGGCTATTGACAGGTAGGCTGCCAGCTGACTAGATATTATTTCATAGCAGTGTTTTGCTGCAGCTCTTTAGCTAACCTAACAATATTCTGGTAATTCCTAACTGTTGCATACTGCATCCAAAGTCAAGGCAGGGATGTTTGGTGTTATTGCGCCACTTTGTGCTGTTGAAAAGCATCATACTTTGTGTCTTTTTATACACATCCTCAGGGCGTATCGCATTGGCCAGTGCAGGGATGTGACTGTTCTTAGG